ATGGAGATAATGGGTCTCCCTACCGCAGGCCACGAGACGGAACAAAGGACGGTAAGGAACCTAACCTTCTTATTTAAGTAATATATAATGTAATTTTTATTTATATATTAAATAAAGTCATTAGCCTATTGATTTTAATTAGTATTGTTAGTAGACTTTAAAGGTGGGGTTAGATTCCCACTTTCAAATCTTTATTATATCTTAAATTTTCGTAAAATTTGGAGGGACTTATTATAAATGAGAAGAAGGTTAAAGATTCAAAAATATTTTTTTATTTATAAAAATCAAAATCATACAAATGTATATTTAAAGATAAAAGTTTAAACATATAAATTAACAAATATAACGACATTAGTACGTATGAATTTAATTACAAACTTTATAAATTATAAAGACTTTTTTTTAAGTGTTTTTAACTATCGAAATCTAATTAAATACTCCATAAAACTGTAACAACTTACAAATTAGTTTAAAATATTACTTATTTTCATATAAATTCAACAAATTTATCAAATATGACAGTTTGTGATTTTGATCTCTTAAATTTTAATTTCATTATTTTATTAAATCAGTTTTATAAAATTTTTAACTTTAGTCTCACAGTTAAATATTTATTTTTTGATCATTAAAATTGTAATATTAACTAAAAATAGTAACTAACATATTATAAAAAGAAAATCCTCTTACATAAAAATAAATGAGACTTAAATATTTTATCTAAATAAAAGAGAAAATAAACTATATCCAAACCAAAGAATATAAAAATAGAATAATAAAAGTTTTTGTTTATATAAAAAAAATGTGTGATAGTGTACATTTTTATTAATTATTGTTCATTTTGTCAATAATTGTGGTGTGGTGATTTATTGTTATTTATTATTGAGAAACTCTAGAATTAAGATTTTTTTTTTAGTTTTAGTCTTTTAGGAATGTTTCTAAACAAATGTTTAGTTTGACTTAGAGGGGAAGGTATATGACCTTTCTTAAAAAATGGATTTCATAAGTTTTGTGATACTCTCTACCCCAACATAATATATAATAATCGTAAGATAAATTAGAATGAATAAAAACTTTCTTAATTAGATAAGTCTCAATTAACGAAGAGGTAAAGGATTCACATTCACATACATAATCATAATTCACTTGTGAAAATTACAGAAGAAATAAAGTTAAAGGTTTTCCAAAATAAAAGAAAGAAACTAAAGTCATAAACTAATCCTAGCTATGCCCCGATGTCACATATCCTATCAGAGCACGCCTAACTAAAGCCTAAGCTTCATCACCAATATCATCATGTTGATGATCACCTACAACACAATTTAAACACATACAAAGAATAACAAGGGAGTGAAAAACATCTCACTCAGGTTCAAGTGGAGAAATAAAGGTTAAACAACACACACAAAACAAACATAATACAAGTCACAAGCACAAATCACGGATAAACAATACACATACACAATCAGTATCACAAGCACACTCATTTATCATGTAATGATGTCAGGGACTCAACTCATAAATGCATGCATGTAGTGCTAGTCACATATCACATATCATTGGTGTGCTGCCTAAATAACACACCTAAGGTAGTCTAGGAGTTCATGTAGGGAGCTACCCATACACTCTCAACTAGAAGGATGTACTGTTAGGGTCTGATCGGGATAGCGAAGCTGCGCAAGTTACGTCTCGTGCTCACAAACGGGCAGAATTGAGACATTCAAACCGCACTATACCCTAGGACTCCCCAAGCTGTTACACAAGGAGGGTCTTCCCTAACGGTGTACTCCATATCGTACCCGTCATATAGATGCACATGATACATGTCACACACATTCAAACTTCATGGACTCATCACTTTACTTGTAATGGGATTTCATGTCTTATCTCATTCCATCATGTTTCACATTCTCATAGTCATAGTATTCACAATAGCATGTAATTCACATCATGTCTCGGGTCACTTGTTCACATTTCACATTTCTCATAGTCATACTCATAAGATCATCGTTTGGAGATTTTTGTCCTTATCATGCTCATAAAACACATCACTTATGCTAACACAGTAATAAGGCAATTCCTACACAATTTGCACCATTAAATAAGACATAAAACATGTAAAACATCATAGGGATCACGCCTGGTGCGTCCCAACTTGCGTCTGGCGCATTAAATGTCGCACTAAAAGTAGAGCATCACGCCCTACGCGCCCTAGGCGCGCCCAGTGAATTTAATGTCGTGCCTAAAGAAGAGAATCCCGCTCGGTGCAGCTTCACACGCGCTCGACATGGCTTTCCTGTGCCCAACGCAACTTTCCTGAGCCTGGCTCAATTTTCCTGGGAAACTATTAACTATTTGCGCTTGGCACCCTTAATGCGAATCTACACTTTGCAATCAAACAATTTTTCACAACAAACATGGAATCATATAAATCAATCGGTAATAATCCTTCAAATAACACCTAGAACATAAATCCATACTCAATTTTACATAAAATACCTCAATTCGCATCAAAAGATCATATCTCTATTTGTTTCTGACAAGGTTTTCCACAAGAACCCACAGAGCATTCTAATTCATATCAAAACTCATCTAATTTTGAAATCAAACAAATATTCATGCATCACATCCAACCAGAAATCCAACAGAAAACTCATATATTAAAATAGAAAACTTTTATAATTTGCTTATTCCTAAAGCATGCATCAGGCAAGGGATTGTGGGTCAATCTTGATACCCAACAATTATTCTCACACCCCCGAGTGAGATTTCTCACTACCCCTTACCTTGATGAACAGAAGATGATGAAGCACAAGTGAAATCGGGTTGGTTCTCTTCTTCAGGTTCCCCTTGATCTTTAGAAGCGTAGAAAGAAAATGAGTCAAGAAGAAGTAAATACGTCAAAATGACTTGGTAACCTCTGACAACCTCTCTTAACATCATTTTGCTTAATTAATAAAATAAATATTAATAATAAATATCAGAAGACCTCTACGTCCCTCCTTCCCTTCTTATCAAATAAATAATAACATAATATAATTAAAATACAACTCTTCCCCTTTAAGCAAATAACATAAGCACCACAAAATACATTTCACAAAATTACCTTCATAATACTAATCCAAATAATAATCACAAATCATGTTTTATAAATACAATAGAGCTTATATAATTAAATAAATAATATCAAAACTATAAAATAATCACATTAAATATCAAAATAATATTTACAAATCATACTTTATGTCAAAATAATGCTCATATGAATACTTAAGTAGTACCAAAAATACCAAATTAAATACATTAACATATTGAAATAATTTCTAAAATATTATTAATATAAGGTAGGAAAATTAATCAGGGTGTTACAAGTTCAATTTCTTAAGTAAGTTATAAAGAGTTTAGAGAGAAAAGCTCTGGAGTCATAGTGAAACGTTTCTCCTTCAACTTCACAAAATTTGTTATACCATTTCCCTTGGAAGCAATTGTAATTGCTCATTGGTGATTCAAGCTTCTAAGAGAGAATCAGAGTTGTTATTGGTAATGGTGCGAAGTTCTTAGAGTTTCAATTTTCTCCTTTTTCCTTTGATTCTCTTGGAGCTAAAAGTAAGAGAAGCTATAAATCATTTTGTGTAGATATATATGTGTTATTTGAAATTGTTAAATCTCGTGGTTGTGTGGATGATTGAAATTGAATTACATGTTGTGGAGTTGTGTTGTTCTTGAACAAGTGCAAGTGAATCCGGTGAATTTGGTTTTGAATGGTTGCATGTTGATTTTAAGGTTGGATTTGAGTTAGTTGTAGCATCTTTGAATGTTTTAGTACATTGCATGCTTGGATTCTTCTGAATTTCAAGTGGATGAGTCAAATTTGTGATTATGCCAAGTGCAAATTTCACCATCACGTTAGGTATGTCTCTTCATGGTGTCAAACATGGCTCAAATCATGAGTTTTCTACTTTGATCGTGTTGTGCATGAGAATGGTAATGTTAGGCATGAGGGGTGAGAAATGTCTCTGACTTGATTATGTTGGATGTGGTTTAAATGGTATCAGACATGAGGAGAGAGAAATATCTTTGATTTGGTGACGTTAGACCCTAATGGAAAAGGCATCAAGCATGACCCAAACGGAGGCTCTACCTAGACGATGTTGGGTGCTAATTTAGTGACATTAAGAGTGAGTTAGGCAGAGACTCTCTACCTAAAATAAGGTTGGGCGTGGAGTTCAGTCATGCTAAGCATGAAAGCAATAGAGACTCTCTGTCTCATCTACGTTGGGCGTAGGTTAAGGGACATTGAGCATGAGCGAGCCCGAGAGCTCACTATTTCAATGACACCAGGTGTAAAAAGAATGGTGTCGAGATGATTAAATGGTGGAAAGTTGTGTTGATTTGATTAGCTAAGGACTAAAGGAAAGGTTGTTTAAAAAGTTGGATATCCTATTTTGAGGATATTGATGTGGTGCTCAACGAACCCAATTGTTGAAAAATCCTTTTTATGAAGTTGACCCTTGAAAGGGATTGTTGGGTCTCCTCTATGACCTTAGTTGGTGCAGTATGTGGACAAGGTTGAGGTATACCAACTATAAGCGACCATATTATAGGGGTTAAGTTAAGTTATACTAATTATAAAGTGACCAATGTTTATCTGTATATGGGCAAAATCGAGACATACATGTACAAAGTGACCAATTAGATTAACACACAAGGTCAGAGCCAAAATCCATAACTAAGTACTAGAAGGGACGTAGTATTTGGAGGGTAATCAAGAAGTTAATCCCATAAGAGGCTCAATTATGCATGCTAACGTATGTTGTGGTAGGCTCACGCCCAAGTTGTCCTACCTTGATATGAGTACTAGACCTTCCTAATTTAAGTAGAAAAGTCTGAGAAGTTATGTTCTTGTGGATTTCTATCTAAATTGGTTGTTAATCTACCCGAATCAAAAAGATCGTGTTGTTGTGATAAGTAACTGCAGTGGCAAAATTGATTTAATTTTAGGCCAACAATATTTGGATAGGGTAGGTGTCTTGTGATTTTTTGGACAAGTGTCTATAATATGAGTTGGGTAAGGAAAATGGTTTGCGAGTACAGATCAAAAGGATAAGAATCACGGACTGTTCTGAGAGTCCTGAGATTTCATTGAATTTGGGTGTGTCTACTCTCTAGATACAAAGGAATTAAATACACTTTGTCACATTCCTCATTCTCTTTTTACTGTTATCATGTTTGTACTAAACAAAGTTTCATATTGAACATTTCAGCCTTAAGTTAATTTTTCATTGAATAATTACTTAGTTCCTTAAATATTTTAACTTTTTTGAACTGTTGCAGGTTGTTCTGTCATTACTTGCTTAAAAGGTTTATGCTATAGCTATGCTTATAAAAAAGGTAAGAACTATATTTCCTTAATGATTTTGTGTAAATTGATGCCTTTTGTGTAAATTGAAGTTGTCTTATAATGAGAATGAGTTAATATAATCAAGGTTCTAAAAAACAATTTTAGCCACAATGTCAGGGTGTTTAGGGTCTCTGAAACTGCAATTTTTGTTGCATTGATCGCAATTAACCAATTTAAAACCTTGGTTATATTTAATTTTTTTTTCGCTTGTAATTTTGGTATATAGAACTCAACTACTCAAGTGTAAACTGCTAAGTGGCTTTCATTTCAAATTGTTTGCATTATCACTTTCCATGGACTCAACCAAGCATCTTGATATCACTGTCAGTGTAGAGCTGGTGTTACTATGTTGTGAGAATGTGATGCTTTTTTGTTTAGGTTATCCGGCTTTTTTGGCAAATCATCCACAATTTGGAATTGCATTAATGACTGCTGATAGGAAAGCTGGGCATCCAATCTCGTCTGTATTACCGCATTTGAGCACTCAGGTACGGTTGGTTTTAGATATGATCATGTGTATTTAAGAAGATATTTTTCTTCATTTCTAGCTATTATTATCGTGAAGACAAATAGCTTATAATGGCTGCCTGGGAACAAATACCATGTCATAGTAGGCTGTTTCATGCTTTAATATGGTTTGTTATTGTGATTTTGGTGGACAAGTTTTATAACCTTCATTTTCAGGATTTTTCTTCATTAGTTGTAGATGAAAATTAAAATTAATTACATATGCCATGTAATGTATTTTTTGTGTAAGTGAATTTGTTCTTTTTGTCTATTTTGATTTGTTTGTGGGTTTTGTTTAATCTTTTAATTTCATGCACATTTTTAAAAATCTGACAGAGAATTATATATGTGTTTATTACAGGTTAAATTAGAAAGTACCTAAAATCAAACGAATTTTTCAAAAAAAATAAATTAATAATCTACATCGATTTAGACACAAATAGATGTAAATGGGGGTCTAATTTTACATCGGTTGTGCAAAAAACAGATGTAGAATTTGTACATCATTTTACATCGGTTCTTCCCACAACCGATGTAAATTGGTGTACAAATTTACATCAGTTATACAAAGAACCGATGTAAATTTGTACATCATTTTACATCGGTTGTGGGAAGAACCGATGTAAAATGGTTTGCATTTACTACGTCGCTCCATTTTACATCGGTTTTAGAACCGATATATATAGTGTTAAAAAACCGATGTAAAATGTGTGTCTTGTAGTAGTGTTGGTAGCTTGTGGTGTCAATTAATCTAACCAAGGTTAGGTTAACTTATACTCAAGCCAACTAACTTTAATTTAAATTTGAAATTCAAATTTGAATTTTCCTCCAAAAATGATGTCAACATCTTAGATCTAGAAGAGAAAATAAGAGCTTGCCACATGGTAATTAAGGTGCAAAAGGTGTGATGGGATGTGTTAGTAGAAAAGAGAGTGTAGAATTAAATATGCAAAAAGTGTGATTAGTGCGTGAAACATGTGACTTGGTGATGTGTGAACCAATGAAAAAATGTCAGGATCAATATGAACAAATGAACATCCACATAATAGATATAACTCTTCACTCTCTCTTGACCTAAACAAGTTCAATAAACACATTTTTCAAGTACTAATTGCACCCCCATAAAATACTAAATACACCCCTAAAGAAAAATACAAGAAAGTAAATTTCTAATCTAATTGACCAAAAAATGTAAGGCCAAAAATAAATGAAATATTTATAAATATTAACAAAGAAGAAAAAAAGAACTACAAAAAGTAACACATGAACTTAGACCTTTTAATATAATCCACTCCTCTTAACTTCTTTTTGTATGTGATCCCTTGACATGATTGCATCAATATTACTTTATAAATTATATGAATTAAGTATTCACAAAATCAAGGATGAAATATGTTTTGGTGGATTTTTTTTTCTCATTTAAGAAAAGTCTACAATCTTGGTTTATTAATTGATAAAATATTAGGCAATCCAAAACTTTCTTGAATGTAAGGAATTATTTTTCTTGAATGAAATATTGAAGGCGTGTATAAAAAACACATTTACAAAATCTTTGTACTGATATCTATAAAGAAATAACCCAATCAATCATAAATGCACACTACTACAAAATTGCAAAATAGCGACCGAAATTAGTGACCGAAATTTATCAGTCGCTATTTAGCGACTAATTTAGCGACCGATTATCAAAAATCAAAATAGCGACCGATTTAGCGACCAAAATAAGTCATCGCTAGAAAATTGGTCGCTATTTCGGTCGTTAAATAAGAAATTTTAATTTTTTAGCGACAGAATTAAATTCGGTCGCTATTTTGGTCGCTAAATTATAAATTTTGAATTTTTTAGCGACGGAACTAAATTCGGTCTCTATTTCGGTCGCTAAATTATAAATTTCGAACTTTTTTAGCGATGGAATTTAATTTGGTCGCTAAATAATAGTTAAAATTAGCGACAAAATTGGATTCGGTCGCTAAATAGTAGTTAAATTTAGCGACGGAATTTAATTCGGTCGCTAAATTATAAATTTTTGATTTTTTTAGTGACAGAATTAAATTCGGTCTCTATTTCGGTCGCTAAATTATAAATTTTGAACTTTTTAGCGATGGAATTTAATTTGGTAGCTAAATATTAGTTAAAATTAGCGACAGAATTGAAATCGATCGCTAATTAATAGTTAAATTTAGCAACAAAATTGAATTCGGTCGCTAACTTATAAATTTTGATTTTTTTTAGCGAAGGAATTTAATTCGGTTGTTAAATAATAGTTAAAATTAGCGACGAAATTGAATTCGGTCGCTAAATAGTAGTTAAATTTAGCAATGGAATTGAATTCGGTCGCTATTTTAGTCGCTAAATTATAAATTTTGATTTTTTTTAGTGACGGAAATTTTTTTTTTAATTTATTTTCATGGTGACTTTATTAAAGGAGGAAAGGTTGCAAATGGTGGAAAGAGTTCTCAGTCAAAAGACCCGCATTCATCAGATCAAAGAGTTGGGAAAAGTTGGTGCCTGTCTCCATTATCTTTTATATGTTTTTTCTTTTATATTTTGTAAATCATGTTATTATTTTGTGCTTGTATGTCTCACATTGGGATTTAGAGTTTGTTTGAATAAACTTATTCAGAAGCACTTGTAGAAAAAAATAAAATAAGAAAAATTGAAATAAGTCTCTCCATAAGATAAAGCTAGTTTATGCATAAGGTGAAAATAAGATTTTGGGAAGTTAATAAGAGAACTTCTACAAATTAACTTATGGCATAAGTTAATTTTAGCTCATAGATAACTTTATTTCGTTTTTTCTTCTATTTTTCTCTCTTAGAAGTGTTTCTGTAGAAGTTTATTCAAACAAGTCCTTAGCCATTTAGGTTATGTTACCATATAAACTTAATCTGCATTACATGATGCCCCACTTTTCTCTTACTAATATCAACAATATTAATTCTTGGGTGAGATGCAGAACTTTCCGAAAATATCAAATGCCTGATGGACTGTGAGGCCGCAGATATTTTACAAGGAATTCAAGAGCAGATGGTCATGTTATCTAGAGATTCAACTTTCAAAATGCCCATGTGAGTGAGATGCTGAGCTTCTTTTGTATTTAAAAGGGTGTATTGGATATTTAATAGTTTATCATTAGAGTAGAAGATATTTTTGAGTGATCTGAACCTTTTGTTCTCCTGTTGTAGATCATTTGACAAGGGACTGCAGTATGCCAAAAACAATAGCAAGTATACAAATCCGCAGTCTACTAGACGTGTTCTTGAGTATCCTTAATTTTTTGGTGTGGTGTGTGTTAATACATATGTTAAGCAACTTGTTTAGTTCTTGACTTTGTTCGCATAGATTGATGACCATTGCTGTTGATTCTTATACTCTTTTCTCTTTTTCTTGATAATGTTCATCTCTTGACTCAAATATCAGACCTCTTGCAAAATGTGGTCTCACTGACAGTGAGGTAATGATCATATTATAATTTCCTTTTTTCATGTGTTATATGTAGCTTTCTTGACATAATCACCTGCTGCAGGTATGTGTGATTGGTAATGTGTGCCCAGAAACTATTGATGAAGTGTTTGCTCTTCTCCCATTATTGAAGGTATGACATAGAGCATTTTGTGTTCCTTTCATTTAAATCATTAATGAAAGGAGATATGGTTGTTTTCTTATTATGTAATAAGGTTCTTTCACTATTTACAAGTTAGTGTTTACTAAGAAGGAGCTCTTCCTTGGATAAGTAACTGCAGTGGCAAAATTGATTTAATTTTAGGCCAACAATATTTGGATAGGGTAGGTGTCTTGTGATTTTTTGGACAAGTGTCTATAATATGACCCTTTTCTTAGCTCATCAAGAATAGTGTTTGTTGAATTAGTTTTCTGATATATATATATTTCCGACCCGGACAATTTTAGGGGTCTACAGTTGTTAGTTTGACAGGATCAAGCCACTTAGGTTGCTCACCTTGTTGTAGAAGATCTCTTAGTTGAAATGCGTTATGACACATATAGTTGATTTGTTATGTATATGTGGTTGTGTTATTGAATTATGTAATGCATATGACATTGTTGTAGTGTTGTTCAAGTTGAATAATAACTTGTGCATGTGATGTGTTGATGTTTATGTTATTCATATGTTATCTGAATGGTGTTGAGTTGCATTGTTGTGTTGTTCTAGTTGAATATCATGTTGCAATTTGTTGACAAGTTATAGGTAAATGTTATGTTGAAGTATAATAAGTTGCTTGTGTTGGTAGTATAGTAGTTTTTAGTTTTATATTGATTATGTTGATTTTGAACATTAGCTTACTCTTGCATGTTTTTATATGGTTGGACTACAATAATCATATTTGATATGGGAGCAGAGTAGAGATACTTGGTATGAGAGTGAGTGACAAGCATCATGAATGAGTCAAGAAGAGAAATAAATGGGTGAATATAGAGTGGTACTTGAGGTATGTCCATTGGCCTTGAGTCCTTGGGGGTAGATAAGGTGCTAAAGTTGTTATATCTCATTGGGGTTGTGGGACTCACGAAACTGGCTTGGCATCCGCAACACATACAAAACATAACCATGGTTGGTTGAGAGTGCTTTGTTGAGTACCAAGTAGAACATGTACTCTTAATCGTCGCCTAAAGGAAGAGTTCATGTAAGACCTCTAATTCGGATGGTCAAGAGGCATTGTAGGCCCACATGCATGAATAAGAGATAACTTAGATGAAAATGAATAGGTTTTTCCCTTGCATTACATTTCATATGATCACTATGATGTGATTTTAAGTGGAAGCATAAGGTTTGCATTGCTTGTAACCCTTTATATGAGTAGCGAACCTCACTCCTTTTCTTTCATGTTTCTATATATGTTTACTTTTGGTGTTTAGTCGATGACAATGGACCGCTTCGCTTCAGTGTTGAGGATGGCTCTTCAATGCACTAGTAGAGGCCATTATACCTATAATCTATACTTGAAGGAGGATCCCATAAGGATACTATGCATATTTTTTGTGTTACTATTGTATAGATAATTGAGATATAAGTATAGTTGTGGGACCATATACATGCTCTTTTTTACTTTGATTTTTTCCCTTCTTGTTGTATGATATTTTTTAGGTAGACTTGAAGCGATCATTTTGAATGTATATAATTATTAGTTCACCTCTAGGTAATTAAGATGATTGTAATTTTAAACATTGCAAAAATTATTTAAAGTACTTTACGCTCTATGTTTTTGTTTTACACCTTCAAGTACGAATATAATTTATTGGATTTATTACTTTCCTCGCTTAATTACTAAAGTATTTCAAGAATCAAAATTAGAAGTTATATATATTAGCTAAAAGGCGTTATATTGCAATGAGGATCATCAAGTAGATGATTAGGTTGAAGAAAAGGCTTATGCCTTATATTGCGTGTTGTACTCTAATAAAATGTGACATCAGAGTTTAGGTGAGATTCCATTTTGTTGATTTCTTCATGTTTAAGACTTTTTAATGTTATATTTTGTTTTGTAATTCCTATATTGAAGGGTTATCTTAGTTTTTTTTTATAATGTGTTACTATGTGATACTTCTATCCAAGGGATTTGTGAACATCTATTTAATTTGTAAAGTTTACTTTTGAACATTTTTTCTTCTCATTATTTTATACATCTATATTAGTATCTGGGATAAGAGTGTTGGAGACTTTATACCAACTTTTTCTTTCAGTCTCCCTTGTTAAAAATAATATGTTTTAGTATCTACACAAACACATTTATTTTTCCAAATTTGTATGTGCTTTAGTTTATATCTAATGTCATTTGAGGTTGCTAACGTGACAATGAAAATGTTGAATGTTTGTGAATGGAGTGGTACTCCTTGATTAACACAACGCTCAAACCTTCAAATTAAAATGGTTGTTACATGTTGAAGACTCAACCTTCCACGCTAACGGTAGCACAAACAGTGGTCACGCAAAAATAAATAGTGAGTAGGAGAAGACCCATAGAGGGTTTACAACCCTAGGCAATATCCCACATGAAAAATTAATGGTTTATGACAACGTAAGTATCACATAAATATTGTACATAGACAGAAAATAAAGCTGAGACTAGATTGAAAAAAAAAATGTATTAGTGGAAGAACTAATATATAGTGCAAGTATTGAGATAAAAATAATTAAATCTATATATAATTACATTATATATAAAAAAAATCATCTAAGAAATTATATTAAAAATATTTCTAATTAATTGATAGTATAACATATGTTAAAAATGTATATCTGTTAAACTCATTAAAAAATGTATCTCTAACTGTTGCATAAAAAATATTTTTTTAACAACTAATATATAACTAAATACATTAAATAATCTATATAAAAATTATATTGTTATTCAAAAATCTATACTATAAATTTGGTGAATTTTATAATAACCATCTAAAAAAAGGTCTAATCCATCATGAATTCTTATATGTTAATAGTTTAAAAAAAAGTTCACATCCATATTGCGTAGAAAATAAATTTAAAATAAACCAATAAAAAGAAAAGTAAGCATTTGTCGTAACAGTCACAAACAAATCGTACCATAACGTCTCTAAGAAATTATGTGGCAGAAGAAAATGTATTTCATTTTCTATTCTTACAGTGCTTTTTTATTTCTCTTGATTTTCATTACAAAATAATCAAGTATTATTTGCTAATTGCCTAATTCTATGCATCGATCGAAATCATCATTTGTTCGATCGAACGCACAAACGATCATTGATCGATATCTTACCAAACGAAAATTGCTAGAAAAAAGGAATATACAAGAACAAAAATGGGAATAGAACATAACCATAGAAGTAAGAAAATGGGAGGATCTGGAGTCATGAAGTAAGGGAAGATCACAATTGAGGATGCTAAAAGCAAAACCATCAATACCGTTGCTAAAACTCTGTTGTCTTTGAATCTGCTGTAATACCCCATCACGTCAGAATGTGTCTTTTAGTTCTCCTCTTCTATGTCGAGATAATGTGATGTATCGATAGACATTACTTTTATATGGAATTTGATAAAGGGAGTACAAAATTACATTCATATTTTAGGTGTCACAAGAAAAAATTTATATTATAATTAAGGAAATAATGGTGAATGTGAAAATCATTGTTTGACGTTAAAGAATTGTAATTAAAATTTATTGATTGAACATTCATTGTTGTATGTACCATGGGGGAAGAACCATTAACTTAAATGAGTTACTTTCCCTAAAGAAAGACAGTTTTAGCAAAATATTAATATATTCTAAACAATAGATTGTGATTCTGTTAACAAAAACGAAATGAAAGGGTGCATGCATTTATCTTTAGTTGAAAAAACAGAAAAAGTATATAGATTTGAAGTTGGATTCTTGCAATGTTAATGTTTTGAATGAATTGATATGTGCATTTGTATTAAATAGATGAATGCAGCTCAATTTTTTTTTTTTTGTAATTTGTTGTATTATTAATTTTTTATTAATAATATCATTATTAGTGCAAAATTTTCTACTTTTAAAAGATGCATCTCATATGTAATACATATTAAATGATTTCAAAAAATTTATATTAGTTAAAATATAATTTTAACTTTTATAGTTTCATTTACTTTACATTTTAATCTTTATAATTTAAAATAGATCTTTTTAATTTTTTTATGTGCTTATGGTTTAAGATATACTTTTTAGTTTTTGTCTTTAATTTTTTTGCAATGTAATATCTTTTGTGTTGGTGTAATAGAGGTCTTCAACTTTAATTATGTTTCTGAAGTCGAATTTATTTTGTTAAAAATATTTTAAATTTGATTTCTTTTATGCTTTGAGCTTTTTTTTTATCCTAACTTGCAACATCTATTTTTGTGAAAATAGAGACATAAAGTGTCAAGAGACCTGTTTTAAAATAATTTCAACTAAAAAAAAATTTTTGACATCAAAAGCACAAAATTAAATATCTATATCATGTTAACAAACGAGAGACATTATTTTAAAGAAATTAACAATAAAGATTGAAAAAGGTTTACAAAGAGAAGTATATATAGAGAATAAAAAAGTCGATCTTATACTACATGAACTAAAAATAATTAAAAATATATATAAATTTAAGGATAAAAAATATTTATTTTAAGTTATAGGAACTAGACAAAGTAAATGAAATTATAAAGAGTAAAAAAAAATATTATAACATTTTATATTTAATACAATAATTAGAAGTTTAATATGTGTATTACACATATTAAATATTTATTATATATACATAAATTTTATAATAAGTTATGCAATTATCCATATATGAAAGTAAAAAAAAATTATATATTTCAATATATAAATTTATTAATTTTTAAAATTTATATAAATAAATATTTTTAATATATAAATTATATTTTATATTTAAAAAATTAATTATATTATGATATAAGATTATCTTTAATTATTAATAATTTTTTAAAATTAATAAATTTAATTTAGAATATATAAGATAATTACAAATTGAAATAGATAAGAAAAATGTTTCAAGATCCTCTAAAAACAATTCCTATTATGCAAGATAATTGTTATTGATTAACAAATTAATACCACAGTTCTTTCATAGATCAAAATAAACGTATTCTGGTATGGATAAAAATAATTTTATAGAAATTTTCTATGAAAATATAATTTTATTTTATTTTATTAAAATGACTAAATTTTAGTTAT